GAGCCCACTGCGTTGGCTCCCCCTGGCTCAAAGGTCACCGTCCTCTCGATGTGCCAGAGGGGCTCGAAGAGGTAGAAGATGCTGCCTTGTTGGTTGAAGAACTCCCCCACAAAGGAAGAGCCCGTGCGGGTGGTGGCCATCAGCAGGACGTGCCGCCGCGGCCCAGGGTCCTCATTGCCTGCCAGCTGCAGGGTGACATTGTGCAGGCGGGACCTCAGCTGGGAGAAGGCGGCGTCCAGCTCTCGCAGCGAGGCCAGCGAGCCATTCTCGGCCGGCGCTGGGCTGGTCTCTGTGCTGTTGGCCTCCACCAGTGCCTGCGGGGACTGCTTCAGCTTGTCCGACACCCTGTGAGGAAACCCAGCTCAGCCTGGAGGGGTACAGGACCACCCCTGCATCCCAGCAGTGGATTTCAGTGGGCTCTCACTGCACAGGAGCTCAGGATGTGGGGGAGAGAAAGGGTGAAAAGCGTGGGGTACCTTAGGTAACCCCTTCCTACCTGGAGATGAAGTTGTTCTCCTTCTCGATGATGACGAGGCCCACTACAAAGACCAGCAGGACGGCGTACTTGCTCCTCATCTTCAGGCAGCGCAGCAGGTCCCGGAAATCCTGGGGCAAAGTGTGTCGGATCTCCATGAGGGTGGCACACGTGTCCCTCCTGCCTGCCAGGAAGGTGTCCTGGGCTACCCGCCTGGCATCCTCTGCCCCACTGGCCCTGCCCGAGGCGGCCTTGCCTGTGGGGAGAAGGAGGGTCAGCGTGGTGGTGGCTTTCTGTGGGCAGGGGGGAGTGGGCAGAGGCCAGAGTCTGACCCTTCCCACAAGGAATGCTCAACAAGAGCAGTAAAAAGGGGAGAGAATTCCTCCACATCACTCCCATCCTGTCTGTGAGGAGCAGCTGCCCAAAGCCCGCATTGGCTGCTCTCTCATTTCCCAAAATACATCTGCTGATGAGACCCCTTCCCATGCCTCCATCAGCTGCCCCTGCCAGCCCTGAAATCCAATCCCCGCCGCCTCAACAACTGCCAGCTTCCAGCCAGCCAAAAACCTGCTGCTGGCAGCGAGGGCCCCTCTGGGTGCGAGAGCAGCTCCTCATCCCGATCCACAGCGCATCGTGGCTCCCAGGCTCTGAAAACTGCTGCTTCTGGGGAGGGCCTCAGGCTCCACTGTAGGGCCCCCTGTGTGGGGCTGCACGGCTTCCGCCTTCCCACGGCCCCGCAGCGGCAGCCGCTCAGACATGAAAATGAAACCCAGAGAGTTTTCAGGAACGATGGTGGGGCAGAAAACGCTGGTGCTGCTGCTGCTGCTGCTGCCGTCAGTCCTGCTCAGGGTATAAAATGCTCCTGGGAGCTTTTTCCAAAACAAGAAAAAAACCCAAATGGTGCTGTGGCCACTTTGCGTGGGATGCAAAACTTGCCAGGAAACTCAGTATCCCCCCGGCAGAACAGATCCCCCTGCAGCCGCCCTCCACCTCTTCCTCCTGCCAGCGCTGATGAAATTGGAGTGACAGGGGGAGTCGCTCTGCGTTGCACCAAATCCACGTCCCAAGAGAGAGATGGTGGAGATTTTGGGGGCCAAAGCCACTGTTTGGGACCCCGTGTGCAAATTTTTTTGATGCATAGGGTTTGCCAGCGCCTGCTACCTGCCCGCTGGTTCGCGCGCCCGGCGCCTGGCCGGCCGCGTGGGTGACGTTGTTTGCTCGACCCGCTTTCTTGGCCAGACTTTCGGTGACTCAGGGAAAGTCTATTTAGATTTAGTTTGGCTCCTGCCAGCGTGACCCTGACAGCCTGTCCCACCCCTGCTATCAGGGGTGAAGAGGGGAGCCTGGCAGAGGCCCATCCTTTGGGGGCCCCCCAGGGTTTGCCAGAGGGGAGATGCCCTGGCTAAGCCACGGTACCTGCAATCCTCAGCAGGGTGTGGAGTGGGGAAGCCCTGCCAGGCATTGCGTCACGCCCAAACTTCCTCCACGCTGTCCATGGCCAAAATGTGCATTTTTTTGCTGTTGCTTTCTGTATGTCCCTCCTGCTGGGTAGGGGGGACAGCCTCGGGAGCATGGGCAGGAGGAGAGGGATATGCCCCACAGCCTAATCATCCCAGCCCACCCACTCCCCAGCCCTCTCTGGGTGAGGACCAGGATTTTCCTGGCTTGAGCAAACCACTCAGCTCCAGGGGCTTGGCTTTGTGCCGTCTCCTTCCCAGCAAAAGTTGCTAAAAAGAGACACCCGCACCCACGCGCTCAGGAACCCAGTGTTTTGGTGGGACGCAGGGATTCTGGAGAGCCCCAGCATCTTCTGAGCCTCCCTGGCTCCCCTCTTCCCGCTGCAGTGAGTGGCACCGTCATCCCCAGACACACGTTTGTGTGTGTTTAGCAGTCCCGTTTAGTTTGTCAGCACGCCGTGCCTCAGGGACAGGCCGATGGCTGGGGCAGGTGCCTTTCACCACCCCTGGTCCCCCTGCCCGGTCTCTCTTGGTGGCCCCATGATGACAGGACTTGTCAGAGTATTTGAGCAACTGAGGGAAGAGATAAAATATACAAAGCCTTCAGCACACAGCTGTGTCTCTCAGCACCCAGCTGAGATGGCGGCAAAGGACTATTGGGTTTGTGGCATCTTGGGGAGCGGCAGCAGTTGTCTACATCCCTCAGTTCCTTGGGGCAGGGGACCATCCCTTCACTGCCCAAAGCACACACATGAGGGGGGTGACATACAAGCGCTTGCCCAGACAAAATCTCTGGGCAAAGCCAGCCTGGCGTTTTCCCCCCTCTAATGTCCCCAGATCACAGATGATGCACAGACCAAGAATTATTCACAGGGATGACACAGAGAGCCATTGCCAGCAGCGCTGGCAAAACCCCTGATTCACAGGCCCAGGGCAGACATAATTTGTTAAATAAACATCAAACATCCTGCCCAGGACCCACGGGGCAGCAGTGACAGGCGCGGGGGCCCTGGCAGGGCTGAACCATGGGGGACACACACAGGGTGACCCGGCGGGGCTGGCTGAGGCTGTTTGGCATCCTAAAGCTCTTCCTCGCTGAGGCCCGCAAGGCGCAGCCTGGCCGGGGAAGCAAGCAAGCCACAAGCGTCTCTTTGTGTGTGGGAACAGAGGGGTTCTGTGCGCCCCGTGCTCTCCCCTCCGGCTGGCCGACGGGGCTCCGCTGGGCTGGGAGGCGTGAGGTGAGCTGCTGGGATGCTGCTACCACCCCAATCGGATGCTGCACCACCAGCGCCCACTCCTAGGGGATGCGTGCCCACCAGCGTGAGCAGACAGACAGACGGACAGACATCATCTCTGGCGATGGCAGGCAGTGGCTGGCCAACTCTCTCTTCTTACTCTGCACGTCTCAAAGCAAGGTGGAAGGATTTCTACGAGTGCTAAGCTGAGATACCCCGGAAAGCAGCACACACAGCTCTGGGGAACTCCTCCGACGCTGCTCCCTGCCTTTTCCCACCCCTCAGGCTGGAAACGCTTTTCATTTCAGCAGGGACGGCTACAGTTCCCACTGTCGAGATGATAAAAGGCTCCGCGGATTTCCCAGCTGAGTCAAAGCAAGCAAAGGGGCTTTTTCTTTCGAGTGGCAGTGCGGGTTTTGTTCCCATGCAAAGCCGCTTGTGTGGACATCCGCCACTTCTAGCAAGTTAACTTAACCCCACCACAGCAAGAAGGGAGGATGGAGGGAAGGACTCGGAGGTGCCAAATCATTCAAGTCCGCTGCAGCGCTAGCTGGTTGGATGGATGTACAGCTGCTGGAGGTGAGGTGAGAAGAGTAGGCAAGGACGTTGAGGCCCCGTGGCGAGAAGGAGCGGAGGGGTGCTCTTGTTGCCCTTCTGCAGGGTGTTTTGCAGGACTGTCTGCCTGGAAGAGTGGAGTCGCGGTTTTTTGGCTTGGTTTTGGGAAAGGGAAGGTCTTTCATGAAGACTTGGGGATCTCGTTCCCCTCCTCTGGCTGTCCTGAACACCTATCGGGTGGGATCCAGGAAAGGAAAGACGCCTGTGGGCTGGCAGGGGAAGCCAGCTGGAGGTGTGACTGGATGAAGTCACATTTTCCTCTGATGACTCAACAGGCAACAACTGAGCTCCCGGACGAGGAACGACGGCAAATCACCTGCTTGCGAGCTCCCTTCCTGTCCAAGATCTGTCCGTCCAGCCTGTCTCCATGCATCCCTGCCCGGCTCCTGGGAGAAGGGAGCCTGTGGAGACCTTAGGCTGACCTCGCTGCTCCTGGAGTAATTCCCTCCGCGATGCTTTGCTTCATCAGGTTAACAGCAGGAACATGAGCCAGCAAACCACAGGGGCAAAACAACAAAGAGATAAGGTGTAGGGGCGCTTATCTGCTCTCCCTGCTGCTCTTTGTCTGCAACCTGGGGAAAAAAAACCACCCCAAACAACAAACCCACTCTGATCTCCCTCCGTATTTACTCTCTCAACTGTTTCCGCTCCCGACTTCCTCCTGAGGCCAGCCTTGGGAAACATGCCACCAATGCTTCCTTCTTTGCTTTCATCTCCCAGCAATTTTGATCCTGCCCCTGGCTCTTCTCCAAGGCATGGCACAGGCATGGCACTGCTTCAATTTGCCCCCAGCGCAGCTAAGGAGGTGCCTGGGCAGGTATTTTTGGCTTAAAAACATGTGTATTCAAGCTAAAAAAGGGAAAGGAAAAAAAAAAGTCACCGCCTATGATGTTGATAAAGTTGCCTAGAATAGCCCAGGGCCTCGTCAAATTGAGGCCCAGAAACTGGCCATTGGAGGAGAAATCTGGGAAAGCGAAGTCTTCTTGGCCCAGGCAGGGACAATGTGCTCGTCCTGCTGCTGCACAGACAAACCCCAGCATGACCAGCGGCTGTGTCCCCTGGGGTGGATGGAAAGGGCAGGGTGCTGTCCCCTCAGGGACCTGGCTAGGGCTTTGGTCTTCAATGTGTTCAAACCCTCAAGTTAAGGGAAGAGCCAAGCTTGTTTCTCCTCCCCTCATTCCTTTCCCAGCTCTGCCTCTCAGTCCTTCAACCCGCCTGGGCTTGGTCCTCTGCTCTCCTCTTAACTGGGCACCCTGGGCAAGGCCACCCCTGGGAGCTGAAGCACGCAGGTGAGGGCAGAGATGGGAGGTTATGCTCAGGAGCAGCAGCAGCAGGCATTGGTACAAACAAGCACCACTTAACTTGTTTTTCATTGCATGTGTTCTCAGGCTCCAGGTGCTTGAGGTTGTCTTCTGCCCACTGTTTATTATCTCCCCTGGGAGGCACACTGAGCTCTGGGATGACCCAGATGAGCTGTTCTTGCTCCTTGTGACCCAAAAAGCACTACCCAGAAGGGATTTAGAGGCTGGTGGTGTCAGTATTGCCAGCGACAGGATCAGCCCAGGCTTCGTGGCCAGGACAGACCAGTTTTTGCTTTCCCTCACCTTAGATGGTGTCCAAAGAGAGGTGTTTTCTCCTGACCCAGCAGGGAGGAGAGCTGCTGCTGCTGCCTGAGTCCCTGGTGAACACATTGGGACTTTCAGAGACATCAGTGCTGGGTGTGGGGCTACAACATGAGCATCTGCAGGCATGCCAGGCTGCGTTGCCAGGCACGGACAGGCCTTCTGGGATTTGATCTGGACCAGCTGAGCCAGCTAAAACACCTACAACCTTGAAACCGACTTGCTGGAA